TCTGGAGTTCACTCTACCAATCCCAAAGTATCTCGCAAAAAAAAACGAACAAAAGCCTAAAAGCCCATGAACCCCCCGAAACCCTAAACCTAAACCCTAAACCCTAAACCCTTACCACACCCAAACGCACCGAGGCGAGGCGCCTGCAGCGACGTATGCCGCTCGGCCGCATTTGGCCGAGCAAAAGACTGAAGGAACCTTGGGTTTAGGGTTTAGGGTGTAGGGTTTAGGGTTTAGGGACTTCTTCTTCTTCTTCTTCTTCTTCGGAGGTGGTGGCGGTTTAGGGTTTGGTGTTCAGGGGTGGCATCCTGTAACCCTCTAAGCCCCAACCCTAAATCCAATTTAGGGATCGAAGGGATGATGCGACCAGCAATTCAGCCCTCTCTGATGCGCAATCCCTGAGCTAGTAAGGCAGGCGGCTGCTGCCTTTGACTCTCAGAGCCAGCAGCAGCTTGAAGACAGAGTGGAGCACGTGTCTGGCACAAAGCTTTAGATGGATTAAAATCTAAATTTTTAGGTTAAGCACCCATAGGACCAAGTTTATAAATCCATATTTTGAGTCATCCCGGGGAGTTTTATTGTAATTCAAGATACTTAAACACACTTCCTCAGAGCACCAAAAATAGCAGAGTGAGCCTTCCGGGATCTCGGCAGTCAAAGGCATGCTCGATGGACTGCTCGGTGCAGTAATTACCCTAAGGGTCCAAGTACCCAATCTGGGTTGTAGTTTGGGGGCCCTGAAAAGTATTTATGAACAGGTACCTCTTTAGAAACCACATGGGGAATTTTTAAAGTTCCCATATTGCCACCAAGTAGTAATCATATACTCTCCCAGATATCAATCCGCAACCAAAATACCCTATTTTTGGGTCCTTTGGACCCTTAGGGTTATGATTATTCTTTAGCACTTCCGGCTACGTAGCCCTGGACCCCGAATCCGAAAAACCCTAAGCACAAGCCCTCGACTCAAAACGCCGAAAATTAAACCCTCAACCCAAGAACCCAAAAACTTCAGCCCTAAACCCCCAAACCATACACTCAAACGCCCCCTGAGCCCTGAGGAGCCCGAGCTTTATACGCCTCAACATGGTAACGCAACCATACGGTTGATGATGTAAATCCTGCAGTTCCCAAAATAAGGAATACACCATAACTCCGATCCAGAGTTTAGGATCCTTAAGGTAATGCAGGTTTTTTTATCATCAAGAGTAGTGCAACCATGCTCCGGAAGACCAGGACCGAACCCCCGCTTCGCCGATTCTTGTGGTCGGTTTAGGCTTTAGAGGCCTTAATAATTAGAACAGGGTTTTGAGGTATAGTCTATACCATAATTGTAATAAGGAACCCCCAAAATATATAAATAGGATAGATAGGCTTAGGATTTTGGTGCATGGCTCCATGAGCCTCTGGGCAGCTTAAACCCATGACAAAACAGAGGTGAGCAGTTTAGGGTTTAGGGTTTAGGGTTTATAGTATTTTCTGGGTTTCTGTCCTATCAAAATGCGACAAAGAAATCCTAAAGAAACACCCCAAAGGTTTGGTTTCGGGACTCTGAGGGGGTTCCGGGCCCTTCCTAAACCCTAAACCCACGGCCTCAACCTGGAACAAATTGGCGCCCGTGGTGTACCGGCAGAGCAGGAAACGCAGAATCGCGCCCTCCACTATGTACAACTTCAGGCAATACCTGAGCAGCTGCTTCGGCAGGCCGTTAGTCTGTCTTACCAGAGGGTGCTGTACAAATATCGGAGAGAGTGTCAGGTTTCTATTACTATCATTCGTATTTAGTTCTCAGTACCTATATAGTAGAATGCAAGGCTTCTACCAAAGGCATTACCATTATGATTTGGGGAAGCATCCCCTACAGTAGATAGGCGCTTAGGACCCTTTGGACATTCACACAAAAGCGAGGTTTGTGAAAACCATGTTGCGAGAGTCTACCCGAAACCCTAAACCGGCGGGTCTTGCCTAATATAGGGGCCTCAGTACTTAGAATAGGGTTTTGGGGCCCATTCTACTATACCTATTCTGAGGAAGCCCCATAATAGACCCTTTTAACCTGGACTATGCATATGCCAGGAACCGAGGCGCCGACTCTAAAAGGTAAGCCCTAAATCCCTAAGCCTAAACCGCTAAACCTTAAAGCCCCTGCATTACCGACTGTGCTGCCAGACTGGACGTGAAGCCTTCATCACACTTCGAAGCTCAAATGTCGACACACCTAAACTCGCGCCTACAGCTCCGGTTGCTTATCTTTTTGCAATGCGGCACTATGAATCCAGTGAAGTAGGCTTAAGTGTAAGTTTCGGACAGGAACCCTAAACCCTAACACTTCAACAACTGACCGGTTGCTCCATTGGCCCGGTAAACTCTGCGCCCACCAGAGCCAGCCGAAGAATTGCGAGGAAGCACCAGAAAAGCACAAAGCAATGAGTGTCCGAGGAGCCTTACTTGGTTTAGGGTTCGTATTATGATGGTATCGGTGCTTATGCGATTGCTGCTGTTGCCTCTCTTCTTATAACAGCAGGTGCTACCACTGCTGCAGTTGCTGCTACAGCTGCGGCTGCAGCTGCTGCTGCAACACCAGAAGCGGCAGCAGCGGCAACAACAACAACAACGACAACGATCAAGGCGAGACGAGACGACTACAATACCACCAGCAAGCCCCAAACAGCCAAACTCAAGAGCAATATGCTGCGCAAAATAAACAGTCACCAGCATCCAATGCCTCCGCCACAGCTGCCACTGCCACCACCAGCAGCCAACTACCATCGAAAAGCAGCCGCCACCGACAGCACCAGCAAATGACAAGCGAGCCCGGCAACCATGCAGAACACAGCACCGACACATTGGTGTCAAACCACCAACGGACATGTTGAGAGAAAACAGCAGAAGCATGAGCATGAAGGAAAGGCAAGGTGATGGTGTTCTTCTAAACCTGAACTACCCCTGGGTTTAAATGCAGTCTCTGTCTATGCGGCTCCTGTATACCCTTTCAATGCCACCCCTGAAACCCCAAAACCAACCAGTAAGCTCAAACTGTCAGACTCCCAAGATTATAAATTCCAGGAAACTGTCCATAAGCGGCACCCAGAGCAAACAGTAGACTCCACCGATGACCAAAAGGCCCTCTGCCACTAGCTGGGCATGCCCGAAGAAAAGCACTGGATACCTGGGCTGATCTCGCTGGCCACTTTAAGCCATACGTAAGTCTGGAAGTCTGGTTGCGGTTCTTTCTGATCAAAGCTCTATGCTTCAAGTATAGTAACTATAGTACTCCTTTTTCGAGAACGGCCCAGATACAGGTAGCAGACCATAGTTGTGCAGGCCAAGAACTTGAACAGCCGCCTGCTAGCACCTGGATCTTCTAAGATGTAGATGTTGGCTTCTGTGATACAATCCATGGAGCACCAGCTCACGATTCCGGCGAGCATCAGAACCATGGCACCAGTGCCTGCCACCGTGACTGATGGCATCTTCCAGATGTGATCATCCTGAACGGTATGCTGCATGTGCAGCAGCTTCGGAATAAACGACAGAGCGCAGTAGCCCAGGTAGATGACACGACTTCGATGGCGAACGCCAGCTGACACGTCGTCGCAACACCAGAAGTTCTGCAACGACTCCAGGCTGAAAAAGCACGGCGCGCCAAGTTTCATCGTGACTTTGGAAGAAGAGGACATCTTCGAAGTAGATGCATGCATTCAGGGTTCGGCCGTTCGGGGTATTCTTTCCTGATGACCTGACCCCTTCAGCATCTGGGCCGAAATATGCGCGTGTTTGGGGATTTAGAGGGGTGTATTGGAGTCTAGGGGGATAGATTTCTAGGACAATTTTACGGACAAAAATCCAGAGAATACTGATTCTAATAGACACGAATACTTTTCAACCCCTATCCAACTCCTAGCTAGTTCCGTCTCTTGGGTTACCCCACCCTCTATGGTTAGATCCTTGCTAATATGTTTGGATAACCCAGAGAAGGAACTGAACGACACGACACGGGTGACTACATATATGTAAAGTCTCATAGGGCTCAGTAAGGCTATACTTCAGGTTGTAATTCGGATAACCCTACTTAAGGTACTTCTAACCCCATAATCATATCCGTATTTACTAAGTCCAATGAGCCCCAAGCAGCTACATCACGGTCCGATCTCGCAAAGCCCTACACCCTAAACCCTAAACCCGACAGAAGTCGGCGGTCAACTTCGGATTCGGGCCCTGCCCAGTTTTGCGAAGACCAGGGAAGGGTATGGCAATTGCCCAAGGGGTCCTAAGAACCTTTCTGGGGCAAAACCATAATCGTAACTCCGACTATAGGAACCCTACATTCTGCTAAGGAAGTACTCTAAACTCTCTGGTTTTTAAGGCCTTAGAAATGCAGACTGAGGGTTTCGATAAGGTTTTGAGGTTCCTTTAGGGGTCCGGCAATAAGGATTTTCCTGCTGGGGGTTTAAGGGCAGGGGCCTTAGCACTTGGACTAGGCTTTGCATGAGGGCTCTGCAAAGGGGTAGGGTTATAGCGGGTTTTAGGGTTCTAGGGTTTGCTTGAGGGCTCTGCAAAGGGTTAGGGTTATAGGGGGTTTAGGGTTTAGGGTTCTAGGGTTTGCTTGAGGGCTCTGCAAAGGGTTACTAGAAAGGTTCCTACACAGGGTCTATGATATAGACCGTAGTATTTGGAAGAACGCTTTGGAGTATATGGTGCTACAATTAGATACAACAGGGGATGCCACAGATTGATGATAGCGCTTGCTTAGGCCCCTGTTTTACTGAAAGCTTCAATGCACGCAACAAGAAACCCTGAGCGCGAAACGCTAAACCCTAGACCCCAAACTCCCCTGCACAAGAACTGTGATACCTATGACATAGACATATATATATATATACAGATATATGTATGTATGCATGCATGTATGTATGTATGTATGTATGTATGTATGTATGTATGTATGCTTTGAAGGTGCTTCGGAGCCTTACCCCGCCCCGACAGCGGCTCTTAATGTCCTGAAAGCGAATCGGCGTGGCGCCAAGCTTGACCAGAGACAGTGCCTGGCAAGCTCGGACCCAGAAGAGGGGACCCCCGAACTCTAAGCTTATGGTTTACCTTAACCCCAGATAACCTGTGGTTTCAAGGAAATATATAATATAAACAAAGCTCATGATAAGGAACCCTAAAAGGACAGTTTCTTTAGGGTCCAGGTTGTGTTCACATGTTCAAAGAGCTTTAGGGTCGAGGCTATAGGCTTGAGGGTTTAGGGTTTAAGGTTTAGGGATGTCAAGTCCCGCAGCAAGCGCAGGCGCGCCAGTTAAACACATGCGAAATGTGCACAAAACTGCAGAAGTAACTACCATCATACGAATTCCATACCCAAAATTAAACCCTGCCCTACCCTGAAGACTCAGGCCACAGTTTTGAATCAGGAAATGGACTGTTGCAGAAGCTATGTTGAAGTCCTCTGTTGCTCCGAGCTACACGTGTGATCAATGCCCAGGTCCAGGAATAATGCAACAGATGTCCTTTGGACAGATCCCTCACTCCGAGCGACTACAAGTTCACGCTACCAAACCCTTGCACCCATCTAACCCTAAACCCTAAACCCGTTTACACCTGGACTACGCATATGCCAGGAACCAAGGCGCCGACTGTGCTGTGGACTCGGAAACCCTAAACCCTAAACCCAAAGCCCTAAACCCTAAACCCTAAGCCCATGCAGTCGATCCTGCGCCCGGGAACTTTCAGTGTTCCTAGATCAAAACTACTCCATCACCCTAAAAGTCACCAAAAAAACGCCTAAACCCGAAAGCCGGTCAGAGCCCTTCTATCAAAAACGAGACCCTATAATCTTGACCCCCTAATATTAAACGGGGGGGCCCCTCAATAGATACTCGGAAAATATTTTTCTTATGAAAAGGGGTGCTTTTTCTCTACTGTCAGATTTATGTAATCAGAGAATAGAAACTAATACAGTAAGACTAGTAAATCCTCTTGAAAGCTCCTATAGCACCCCTGCAAAACCCTTTTAATGCCCATAAAACCCCAAACCGTAAACTTTCCCTAAACCTTCAACCCAAGAACCCTAAAACCTGACTTTGTCTTTTCAGACGACAGGCAGTCAGGCCTGCAAATTTATGGAAAGTGTGAGGCAGGCTTCGGACAGCCACGCTCACGGACCAAGCTGCAAACATCCCGTCGGAGCTGAGAAAAGACCGGCAGCCGTCAACCAGGGAGGCTCGCCCTAAACCCTAACCCCGCCCCAAATTCAGAATAGGTTTCAAAGGGCAGGGATGATTTCAGGAGGA